CATGATAGAGTTTTTTGTAATCCATGATTGAATTTTTTGTAATCCATGATCGAACTGTTTTTTTTTTTTTTGTAGTCCACGGTTGAATTTTTTGTTTTTTTTGTTTGTTTTTTTTTGTAATCCATGATCGAATTTTATGTAATCCATGATCGAATTTTATGAAAATTTGTGATTTTTTTTTTTAATCCATGATCGAATTTTTTTTTGTAATCCATGATAGAATTTTTTGAAAATTTGTGATTTTTTTTTTAATCCATAATCGATTTTTTTGAAAATTTGTTATTATTTTTTTTTAATCCATATTATTCAAAGAGAAAATGAGAGAGATGATGATTCTGAGGCCACCCTATCCCAGCCATATTATTCACATATCGAGTCCCAACAGCAACAGTGTAGGGATGAGTACGAAATACTGTAAATTAAATGCTGAATGGCGGTTCATGCAGGGAAATAACATATCAATATTCGCATATTCATTCAAAAACATAAAAATTCTTAATGGAGTACCCTCATTTTTTATTGAATTCCTAAAAAACAATATTTATAATGAATTTTAATAATTTTTTCGAATTTTTTTTAAGCTTTATTCTGACCGATTCACCCGATTCCTGATCCGGATCGCCTATTTGCCGATCCGGATCGGTTTTTTGGAAGCCCGATCCGGGTCACCGATCCGTTTTTTAAACCATTGCTTTGTAAACTACGCTCTTGATGTTTATTTTTACAACTACCTCCCGAGTAAAAACTTTCAGGACAAAAATACCCCCACGTAGCACCATTTCCCTTGCCCAATTTTAAAGATGACCGTTTGATGCAGGAGGGACCGCATAACGACAGGTGAGTTGGCTAACTCACCAAAAGCTGTATGCCTTCACTACTGCAGAGTAGGCCAAATGGGGGTTTTACCCGTTCCATCATAGTCCTCAATGATTTATATGCTTGCCTCTGTATGCTATTGTATGATTTATATACCAATCGGACTGTCAATACAATTCGTAACTAGTAATTTCAGATAGAGAGTGAGAGATAAATGGTAGACAATCCATTGATGGCAGGCCGTGTTGTGAGCTTTTTCTTGCAGAAATTGGACACCCTACTGACAGAGGAAGTGAGGCTCCTCTCTGGAGTGCATGAAGACATTGTTTGGCTTAGGGATGAGCTTGGAACCATGCAGGCCTTCTTAGAGGATGCAGAGAGAAGGAAAAGCAGAGACCTCCTTGTAAGAACATGGGTGGTACAAGTGAAAGAGGTGGTCTACTTCGCAGAGGATATACTCGATGAATTCATGATTCAGATGGAGTGTCTGGGCCAATTCTCTGTTAAGAAGCTCATAATTCGCCATCGAGTCGGATCAAAGATTCAAGACATCAAGGCACGCATTCGTGCAATAACTGATAGGAGAACCACGTATGATATTCAAAGGAGAGATGATGAAGCAGCCACACTTTTCAGAGCAAAAGACCCTCTTGTCACCGCTCCTTTCATCGCAGAAGCAGACATAGTCGGATTACAGGAAGATGTAGAAATTTTGGTTGGATGGCTGTTGAATGGACGTCCAAAACTTGAAATGATCTCACTGGTGGGGATGGGTGGGATAGGCAAAACCACGCTTGCTAAGAAAGTCTTTCAAATGGGAAAGACGAAGAGCCACTTTGATCGTCGTTCCTGGGTGACTCTGTCTCAATCCTTCACAATAGCTGGGCTTGTAAAATCCATGTTGAAAGGGTTCTACAAAAATGTCAATGAGGAAACTGCAACTATAGATACAATGGATGAGGGACAACTCTACATGTGCCTCTACTCATTCTTACAGGAGAAGAGGTTTCTTTTGGTTCTAGATGATGTATGGAGTGAAGATGTTTGGAATGGATTGAGTATTTTCTTGTTAGATTGCAAACCTGGAAGTAGGATTGTGTTGACAACCCGAAAAAGGAATGTAGCATCATCAATACAAGTTCGGAGCCATATCCACCACCTAAGGCCATTAACAAGGGAAGAGGCATGGTCCTTGTTTTGTAAGAAGGCAATTCGAAAATTTGATTATAAGAGAATCACTCCAGAAATGGAAAAGGTGTGGAGAATTATTGTGAGCAGATGTCAGGGTGTCCCTCGAGGTATTGTTTCTAAGAGACAAATAGAGATAGCTCAATGGATGGAAGTACTACAAACTCTGCAGTGGGAACTGGCAAACAATCCCTCCTTGAAAAGAGTAAGGGGGATTTTATCCATGAGTTATAATGATTTGCCCACTCATCTAATTCATTGTTTCTTAGATTGTTGTTTATTCCCCAAGGACTATGTGATCAGGAAAAGCAAGCAGATTAAGCTATGGGTGGGAGAAGGATTTGTTGAACAATTACCTCGTGAAACAGGAAAATTGATTCACTTGAGGTTTTTGGGACTAAGGAATACAGGAATTCGTAAACTTCCCAAGTCCTTGCAAAATCTTCGTAGACTAGAAACTTTGGATGCCATTGGAAGTAATTTGAAGTCATTGCCCCATTGGATATCACACCTGCAAAACCTGAACCACCTGCTTGTAAGAAAAATAATGCCATTAGATGTGGAAGGTGTAATTGAACTGCTCAAATCTGATAAAGGCATCTATTATAAGCAGTTTGTGCGAATTAATTTTGATGTTGGCAGCTTAGCACACCTTCGCACATTGCAATTTGTAGGAGTTAAGGGGAAGGCTATTAAACATTTAGGGGAGTTGTCTCAGCTTGAGAAACTACACTTCCTGATACAGAACAAGGCAGATGGGCAAAAATTATGGGCTGCCATCCAAAATATGAGGAACCTTCAAAATCTGGTGATTCTCACTAAAACAAAGCCCATCGTCATAGAATCGATGGATTCTCCTCCACCGCGTCTGAGTAAATTACAACTGCATGTGATATTGAGAAAGTTACCCAAGTGGTTGTGCTCCCTAGAGAGCCTTACAAGGTTAGTATTAAGATCTTCAGCTCTAAGTGAAGACCCACTTGTAGCCTTACAAACACTTCCGAATTTGACAAAACTCATGCTATCAAAGGCATATTATGGTCGTTTTATGGGAGGTGATGGTATTGTAGGCTTTCCAAAACTCGAGCATCTCGTGCTTCATAACTTGAAGAACCTTTGCTGGTGGGGGGGGATGAAGGAGGGATGCATGCCAATGCTAAGAACCCTGACTATCATTGGCTGCAAGAATTTGGTTGAGTTGGATGATAGCTTTCAAAACCTCACTTCACTCCAATGCCTTATTCTTGGAAATATGGCCAAGGATTTCGTTGAAGCATTACAGCCTAAAGAGAGAGGCTATTACAAAGTTAAACACATCCCTGAAATCAGAATACTTACTTTGATTCGTGGAGCGTTGTTCTACAAGAACTTAAGGGCGTATTGAATTGGTTATCCAAGGATTGTGCATGACTCATGGACATGAATGTCATCCATGATCTTTGCACCAAAAAAAAACCTCAACTATGGTTAATCGTACTCAAATGTAAACAGTAATGAAGGAGGAAAAAGCACCTCAACGGCCGCTTGCGGTCAGATTTTGCAGTGCTCAACTTTTACATGAAACATTCGGATTGGTTTTCTGTAGAATAAAGTGATTGAATCTTTGTGGGTGGAGTTGTGTTGCGTATTATTTGATTTTTTTTGTTTTTTATTATGGGTGCGATTTGTATAGAGCTGAGGCTCTAAACAATCAAATTAGCGCCTACCTTCAAATAGTGCAGAGAAATGTGGTTTTAATATTGGGAATCTTTGTGATAGTCTTAAAATATATTTTTATCTCTTATTATAAAATTTAAATATTAAAAAATAGTGTCAACCGAGCAGATCTATGAAAACTTGAAAAACTTGAAAATTGACGATCCAAAAATGTGTTACAAGATGCACTATTTTCAAACGTTAAAATTCATTTTTTTTCTCTCATGTCCATGCATCTTGATGTCGATATGATCAATTTGAGGATATTTGGGCATCAAAACAACCTCTTCTAATGTAATTTTTGAGGTAGGATCCAATTTGATTGTTTAGAGCCTCAGCTCTATATAAACTTTTTTGTAATAACTCGAGTGGGAGTGGGGTCTCGAGAGACCAAAAGATTATGGTATGGAGGGGCAAAAGGAGACATTTTTTATGCCATGACTCACCTAAGTTTCAAGTGCTAAGCTTAGATTGATGTCTAAAACCTATAGCTTTGGTCATAAAATACAATCGATAAGGGTTTCATGGTGGGGTTATCCCTTGATGCGGTCGGAGATATACCCAAGGAAATTAGCGGAGGATTGTGTGCGGCGGTTTTCTAGATAAGACAAAGGCAATCCTCATCATTACCATCGCACAACATATATATTAGATAGCCATCTAGGAAACAACCCCTTGGGATATGTCGTGTACATGTGCGGAAGAGATGGTTTCCTTCAACAATGGACCTTGTTAGAAGGTCCTATGAGATTATGTGCTAAAAGAGAGTTGGACTTATCCTCGAGGAAGAACCTGTAATCTGTCGACTAGAATCATCTTCTCTTCATTTATTGGCTGGCTTTGATGGACTAGTCATAAAACTTTGCGATCAGTTGGGGGTCATAGGTACCATGAGGTTAGTTTGAGAAGATCACAATGGATATAATTTATTGAAATGGAGTGCGTCAACATATTTGTGTTATCATTCACCAATTGAATCTAATTTCCATCAAGTTGACTTTAATAATATGTTTTATTTTAATTTTAGGATATTAAAATGAATTTTTAAATCCCTTTGTATTTTGTATACTTCATTTTGGCAAAAGACAATCTTAAAATAGCCAAAATTAAATTTCCTGAATTTTATCATACAAACAGAAATTAAAATTATTAGAATGGCTCTAAAAATTACTTTATTAATTTCTATATGTTCTAAAGGTGTGGAGCCCATTTATGATGGGGAGCCCATCTAGGTGGGGGCGTGCACAGGCATGCCACACCATATTTTCTTTCTTTCTTTTTTTTTTTTTACAAGAGTACAATAATTTCATTAATTACACAAATATGTTACAAATTTATAGAAACATTAAAATGTAATATCAAAGAAAAAGTTCTTCATCAACCAGGAATTCATCCAACTGAGTCCCATTTTTGTTAAGTTTTGCTGTCGCATTTGCCTCCTTGTAGACATGCTAGAAAGAAACTACCAATTGGCAACTAATATCCATGACTTCCTTCCATTTACTTCTCATACTCTATCGGTAGATACTCCAAGATGTTTATGTACCCCAATGTCCTTCATCACTGAGCAGTCATTTACGGGCCTTAGCTGGTGATCCGGGCTAATTCCCTCTCGACCATGGAGCTTATACTCCATCATCTCACTGGCTGACTTTTACCCTCATTATTTTGGAGTCATATTTAGTATTAAGAGTTTTTCACAATTTGGTACCGCTCTCACGGTCTACACTGAAGCAGTACTTTGACCCCAGACATCTAGTTAACTGTTGCGCCTCAACACATTTTGGGAAGAGCTAGCTAGCTTTGGATTTGAATGGCATTTCACCCCTAACCACAACTCATCCGCTGATTCTTCAGCATCAATCAGTCGGATCTCCACTTAGTTTCACCCAAGCTTCACCCTGGTCATAGATACATCACCCAGGTTCGGGTCCACAAGCAGTGACAATTGCCCTATGATGATTCGCTTTCGCTACGGCTTCGATGTCTTCCCTTAACCAAGCCACTGCTTGTGGTCGCCGGCTCATTCTTTAACAGGCATGCAGTCAGAGATCAAATTCTCCTCCCACTACTTGGGAGCTCATGGTTTCATATTCTATTTTACTCCCCTATGGGTATTCTTTTTACCTTTCCCTCACGGTACTACTTTGCTATCAGTCATCCAGGAATTTTTAGCCTTACAAGAAGCTTAAAAAAGAGAAGAACTCTTTCTCTTTCTTTGACCTTTTTAACAAGTCTTATAGAAGGTGCATTGTTTTTTGTATGATTTAAAAGAAAGGGTTGATTGATTTCAGAATTTTTTTTGGATTGATTGATATCAATATAGTATATTATCTTATTTTTTGACATATTAAGTATTTGATGAAAAAGGATTAAAAAATTGAGGGATAACGGTTCTAGTATTTTTTTCCTTTAATTATAATGGCTAATCTAGATAATGAATGACTAAGATCTCTTCATCCTATAGGTCTTTAAGATTGAAGGTCATGATTAAGTCTCACTAACATAGCAAACCCTAAACCCCAAAATTCTAGCCTTTTATTATAATAGTCTGTGTAGACAAAGATACATCTTTCTCTAAGAGTTCTCTCTCTCCAAAGTGTGGCACATACTCTCTCTTCTCTCTCATTTAACCTCTCTTTAATTGGGTTAGTGGGTTTAGACACCCCACTTTTAAAACTAACAAATTTTATTATATTCTTGAATCTTTAGGACCACACTATCTCAGTAAATCCCCAAACTATAGACCATAATAGTTCGTGATCCTTATCTTGTGATCCAAAATCCTGCAATACCATTGTTTTAGTAATAAATCAAGTAAAAATAACAAAACAACTTATTTTTACCTGATTTTTTGGTAAACAATATCAAACAAACGCAACTGCTAATTTTAGTCAGATTTGAGCTCCCTTTGACCCCCAAAAGGAAAATTTGACTGGCAAATCTGCTTGAAATTAATATATATCTATTCTAATATGATTTTAGAGATACTAGATCTAGACAAGTTCTAGCCAAACTCTAGCTATTAAACCTACAACCCTAAGTTTAGAACTGGTCCAAGATAGCTATTCAACCAAGCCAAGGCTTCTTCAACATTGAAGAGAGACAAAGAGGATCCCCGGTATAAACATAGTCGTCGCGGTTCTGATACGGGTGAGGCCTCGAAGCCTCGAGTTTGCCTAGTCAACTGGCCCGGCCATGCATTTTTCTCATCATCTTTTCCTTCATTTTTTAGTTATTTTATTAGATCTAAGATTTTATTTTTATTTTATTCAATTTTTTGTGCTTTTTGAATCGATGCTGGCCCTGCCATTGATCTGAGAGCGGATCTATTCATTTTTTGATAGATTTGGTCTCAGATCATAATTTGATTTTTCCTACTCTCTATCAATTTTTTAAAATTAGTTTGTGGTACGGATCTAAGGGATCTTCCTCTAAAGATCTCTCCGATTTATATCGTACACAGTTTGACACCCACCGTAGAGCATTTCAAGCTAGATCAACGTACAAAAAAAAAAAAAACAAAACATATCTCCTTTTGAGGGCCATCTTTTGATTAAATAAAATAATTTTTTTTTTTTTTGCTTTATTATTCTTGTTAGCATCGTTTGACGGTTTGCCAAAAAAAAGAAAAAAAAAAAAAGAGATCACCTGGTTGCCTTCTAAAAAGAGCTAGTTCATTATTTTGGTTTATCTTACAAGGTTATCCTTTTGATTTATCTTATTCGTGTATCCTCAGTTTGCTTTGGTGTTATCGTTGTGTAATTATCGTATCACATAACTCTATACAATATTTTAGTTCACTTGTTCTCTTGCAGCCGTAATCGATTTTGTTCATGAGATATTTAATTCAATTCATGCATTTTTCTGCTTTTCTTTATGTGAGAAGTTGTGTCAACTGAAGAATTTTTTTCTTGCGAACTCCGTACCATATGCATGCTCTTCCAGCGACTCTTCAACATCGAACAATATCATTACTTTTCTCTTTAGAAAGACAATACAGTGGGTATTAATATGAGGCATTAATAGGTTTTAGTGTGAGAGTTTTTCAGGGCCTGGTAAAAGCCTTGAAGTAAGAGATGGTCGGCCGTGAGTAGTAGAGAAAGAGACGCAGCTTTGGGGGAAAAAAAAAAAAGGGCTTTCATAATAATAATAATACTAAGTTTATTTAAAAAAAAGATATTTAGAAGCCACGTTGTTAAAAAAAAAAAATAGCCATTTTCATTCTAAAAAAACTCACGTTCTGAAAAAAACTATCAACACTTTTTTAGGCCTCTTTGTTAATAAAAAAAAATAAATTAAACGCCATCTTCCTATCAATAATAATAATAATAATAATTAAGGTCTTTCTCATTTTTTAAAAATAAAATTGCTTTTCAAAGAAAAAAAAAAAAAAAACAAAACAAAAAACAAACAACATTTTCCTGCCTATTTTGTTTTTTAAAAAATACAATAATATAAATCCATTTCTAAGAAAAAAAATCCTAATCGTCTTGATTCAAAAGAAAAAAATAAAAATAACTTGCCAACAGAATTTTTTTTTTATTCTTTTTGTAGTCCTTTGTTTAAAAAAGAAATTGGCCAATAAAAATTTCCTTTTGGAGGCCTAAAAAATAATGCTTCTATTATTAATAAAAATTATATTTTAAAAAAAGTTTTTATTTTCTTTTATTCAAAAAAAAAAGGGAA